CGACAGTGATGACAAACTCTTGATCCTTCCAGTCACAACTCCAATAATACCGTTGTCTTTCAAAACGCTTTCAAGGCGTGCTTGCAAGGTTTTCAGAACTTCAGGTAAAGCTTTGTAGAACTTGTAAAATTCAGCATCAAATTCAACTTTCTCTCCTTTTTTACCGATGGCCCTGATACCAATCGGGAAGGCAGACCGTTTTTTGCTGAGCGAGTAAATTTTATTGAGCATGTCATGGCCATATTCGAGTTCTGCGATGTTCCATTCGTACCCCATGGGTCTGAACTCGGTAGAGTGTCCACCATTATCGTCATCTGTATCTTCATATCCGGGATTGGCAGCATTAAACGCGAAAAGATTTGCACAGAGAAACAGAAGACAGAGAGCTACTTTATCCATCTTTCTCATGCCGTCTGAACTTGACTGGTACTTTTTTGTAGCTGTAACTAGAGGAAAAATTAAATCAAAAGTGACCTACATTCTTCTGCCAGTAGATAAAGCCAGCTATATATTCTGTCGCCTCTTTTCATTGAAAGATGAATAACGATGAATTATAAGTATGCTTATTGTACCTACTTAGTGCGCAGGCGTACGTAACTCTATTATGTAGGATGTGTGACTAGTCAATCAGGAAATCAGTACAGCTATGTTCAGTAAGACGCACAAAATCCTCACATTTTAAAATTTGGGCCTCTCACGTTCCCAATAAGGCAATTGTTTTTCCCACAAAATTTTGTATAAAAATTGTTTTCAATTTTCTCTTGGGAGTAACAATCGTCCCTTGAGTATTGGAAAAGGAAACTAAGGGCCCTTTTACATGGAGGGGGGGGGGGGACCCCAGGTAGGTGAGATAACCCGCTTAGGTGGGGTAACCCGCCTGTCCAAATAATCTCTTATTTTAATGTGATCACGTTTACATTTTAGGTGGGGTAACTTGACACATGTTACCTCACCTGCCTGGGATCCCCCATCTTCATGTAAGGGCCTGTTTACATGAAAGTGCGGGACCCCAGGTAGGTGAGGTAACCCGCTTAGGTGGGGTAAAAAAAATTAACCCTCCTTTACATGCAATCTTACAGCCCGCCATCCCGGGGTGCACTTCCTCAATATTATTGAATGCATGGTCGCTAAGGACGTAAACAAGAAATATGCCGGCAAACCACGTGTTTTGGCGAAAATGCTCTTGAACACTCCCTTGCTGCTCTTGCTGCAACCTCCAGTGCTGTGGCTTTCTATTGTTTCCTTTAATAATGATGCAAAACCACCGCCAAAGTGAATTTTGCGCGAATTTGATGTATCACGAATCAGACCCCGGCTAGGCGGGTTACCACACCTTGAACGTTTACATGGCAAAATTTGACCCCGGCTGAGGGGGTAACCCCGGTCCAGTAGACCGGGTTACCCGCCTTGGCGGGTCACCCCACCTATCATGTAAACGTGATCAAGTTAAAATGAGAGATCATATGGACAGGCGGGTTACCCCACCTAAGCTGGTTACCTCACCTACCTGGGGTCCCCCACCTCCATGTAAACAGGGCCTAAATAGGCCCTTATGCAAAAGGTTGTGGTACAAAACCGCCTTGCTGGAGAGCAAAAGTCGCACTGGGACAAGACATACAAAGGAAATTGTCATTTAAAATTATGTATGTCTTTTGTTTTGTCTTGTCCCAGTGCAATTTTTGCTCTCCGGCATGGCGGTTTTGTACCACGTGAATGGCTAGCTGCAAAGAAACGTTTATCATGTTTAAAATTACTGTCATAATTGTCATGTTGTAAACTGCTATTTCAGGCGATAGATCTCTGGCACGATATTCCTGATCACATAAAAGACCTGAGTAAATTTTTCTTCTTTTCTTTGCTGTGAGAAGAATACTCCAAGCAAACTGAGTAGAAACTAAACTGAACTGAAACGTAACTATGCATAATTTACCAGGCTCAGTTCTCCTCCCCCTGCTCCTCCTTTTAGTTATCAAAATGAAGTCACATAGTATTCGGGGCTAACCTGAAAATATCCCGGTTCCTTTAATTTTTTGGCTCAAACCAATAACTTAATTTTCTTGTCCTCTTATCTTAATCTATGGTAAATAACATGTGTCTTGTAAGAATTCTAAGCCGGAGCGGAGTCAATAAGAATGGTTATAATTATCACTTTCCGATTTTTTATTCACATTACCTTTCTCACGGAAATTAAACTTTAACTGAAACTAGGAAACAACATTGCAGGGAACAGTACCCTTTGCATCAAGTAATTTTGTGGCTTGGAGTCCCTTACTATAAATGACTTAATAAGAAGTATAGTTCAAGCTACTAAGTTTACGGTTCGTTCTCACCCTTTCCCCCCCTTCCCCCTTCCCCACCCCCCCTAAAATCTCTTCTTTAGACTGCAATAAAATGTTTTGCTTAATAAATGTAGTGGACGTTTTTATGGCGGAACTATTATGAGTCTTTCTTGATTCACTTTGCTTTTTTCGTTTTCTTTTTTTCACTTGGATGAAATAATACTTCTTGTCTTTCGTCTTTCTGATGTAGTTTGTTTATATTTTAAAGAGATTTCGCGATGACCAGATTTGTTACTTTGGTTGCTCTGATTTTATTTTGCTGCGAAAAAAGTTGATTTTTGAAGTTGGCTACTTTTAAGGATGCTCCATACAGTTTTTCAGGGTCAATACCTCCCCTAAGTTTGAGCATAAACTACGTCGCCATAAACAAAGATTTGGGACAATTGCCACCATAGTTGCATGCATTTTATAAAAGATGAAAATTTGTTATGATATGGGTTGTAATGACATCGGAGTTGTCATAGCAACGAAATGACGCCATTACTTATTTTACTTGCAGCAGTATTTCTCGTCACTGGCAACTTTTATTCCAAAATCGTTCACTGGAGCTTTTTCTCCTCCAATAGCCGCCTCGATGTTCGTGAAGTTTAAGTGAAATCTTTAAGAGCGTTATCAAGATATTTTGGGAAGAAGTTTTTATGGCTAGAAATACGGAAAAAAATGGACAATCCTGATGTTCGATTGTTATCTGTAGAAAACGAAGCGCTTTTGACAGGCAGTTTCAATCTTTTTGAAAACATGTGAAAGATCATGGAGATAGCTCCAGCCGATTGCTGGAAAGAAAGTTATGATTAGTATGTATCGAGGCACTCTTGTTAGCGGTTCTGTAAACATTTCGGTGTACTTTAACAAATTAGCAAATAATTTTTTGACGGTTCGATAGATTTTTCTAAAAAAATCAAGAATCGAGATTAACTGTCCTTTTCTATGACCTCTTAGTTTCAAGATTATTGATGTATTGTAAGGCAGTAAAATAAAGGCTACAATTCGCTAATTTGTTATCTGAAGTTTCGTCTTTTCAAGTGAAAGCCTCTCAATATTTAAGGATATTGTCTCCAAGTTTCATTTTCACGTCGTGAACAGCAGTAACTAACAATGCATTTGAAATATGCTAGCTGTCGTTGTCCACGAAAATATGAAACTTGGAGACAATAGCCCTGAATAATGAGAGGCTCTCGCTTGTAAACACATAATTTCGTTATCTCGATAACGCTGTTACAGATTTCGCTTAAACTTCACGAACATCGAGGCGACCATTGGAGGAGAAAAAGCTCCCGTGAACGATTTTGGAAGAACAGTTGCCAGTGACGAGAAATACTGCCGCAAGTAAAATAGGGAATGGTGTCATTTCGTTGCTATGACAAATCCGATGTCATTGCAACCCATATCATAACAATTTTTCATCTTTATATAATATAACCAGGGGCACCCAACGTCAATTTTCGGAAAATATCTGTTCGGAAGACGATTGGAGATCTAGAATTTTCGGAACATTTATTGTACAATTCCTCGCTTGCCTGCCTCTCCTAGGGTTTTCGAACATCTAAAAAACGGTATAATTGCCCATTTTTAAAGGATTTTTACCCTAAAAAGGTGACCTAGAATTTTCGGGAGCCTTTTTTCTGGCTGAAATTTTCGAAAAGGCAAGTTTTGATCCCTATAATTTTCGGATCACTAGACTTTCAGCTACGGATTCCGAACAGATGAAAAAGTTTTAGGGGATAAAAATATGCCTATATCTACCGTTTAGATACTAAAATACGTTCAACAATGCTATGTTTAAGTGGTTTTGAACTATATTCTCCTTGGGTGCTCCTGCATGATATAACGTTGGTGGCAATTTTTCCATATCTTTGTTTATGGCGACATAGTTTATGCTCAAACTTTGGAGGTATTGACCCTGGAAAATTAATTGTATCGAACCACTTTTTTATACCAACAAAAAAGGCTCACGTGTGACTAGAGTGTTAATGGTCCAATCAATCATGCATAACCATTATTTTTAAGTCATTTTAGAAGCAAGCAACAAGGGTCTTAAAAAAACAGGAAAACAGTGAAATTAAAAGCGAATACCAACACAATAAAAAGAAATGATTAAAGAAATGATGATATGAGCCCCCGGAGTAAAAACCTCAAACCATTTAAAGTATTTGATTTTGCTCATGATCCTAACCTTATATCTAATATCAATTTAGTATTTTTCTTTGCTTGCCAAGAAAATCTCCCTTGTTTGGCGACTAGAAGACTCGACTGGTGTTTTTATCTATCCGGCAAGCCATTTGATAAGGAGAACACAAGTACTATCCGTTTTCACTAAAGCTAAGCGCCTCACAAAGAAGCAACAACTTTTGCTACCTTTCAATAAACAATGGCATCGTTCGATGACCAACTATGAATTTGAACATTAGTGCTTGTTAATCAAGAGAATTTTTTTGCTCAAAGTACTGAGAAGCTTAAAGAGAGAACATTTAAAGAAGTGTAATCACCTCTAGTTCACTCTCAAAAAAGGAACTCCCAGACCTGTAATGCCAGTTGACTTGATAAACCAAGTGTTCTCCACGTCACAGCACCACTGTTCAAGCTTCTGGTGTGGTAATTCTGTACGTTGTCGTAACTGCACCCTTTGTTAAGAAGAATTCCTGACAACACCTTGCTTCTCCAATCAAACACACGATTGACCATATTGACCAGCCGCTGTCTTATCCAATAACAGGCCATCTTTGTCAAATGGTAACTGACAGGAGTGCGGCACGATCTATTCTCGGCTGAGGTTACATACATACATACAATCTACAGTTCGTTTGGTCCCAGAAATGCCAAAATCATACATTCCCTACCTCTATAATCCGCACACCTCAGTAAAGCGGACACTTGGTTCTGTTCCTCTGCTGTCCGTATTAAAGAGGTTTGACTATCCTGAGTTTATTTGATATTGCAGGTCAGAATACAGGCAACTAATTTAAGCTGATGTGGACCTGCCTAATAATCAAATAATAGTAAAAATTAAATAAATAGATAATAGATAGATAAATAGATATCAATGTTCTCACATTCTCGGGCATTGTTATCTAAACAGTTCCAGACAACAGGACCCCCAAATAATCACCTATTACTAGTTGTTCACAATATCTTTACAAGCTCGACGTATAAAATATTCATCAACATTATAAACCTTCTCCTTTCGTGAATTCGTCCTTAAACAAATATGTTCAGGCTATTTTAGTACACGTAGGCGACTTCCACGACAACCCTTTTATCGTAAAAGAATGTTCAATTAAGTTTCCCACCAAAGGCTTCGTTACATTTTAAAATATCGCATGGTTTGATATTTCAATCTTAACTTGAATCTGCGTCTAGATGTTCAGGAAATGACCTCTATCCTTATTTCGGTTAATTTTTGGCTTGTTCCCTGTGCTTTCGATCGAATTCATATAGTTGATGGTTCAGGGGCACCCAACGACGGTTTTCTCCTACACACATTGAAAACACTTTTTAGGCTATCCAGATTACTTTTAGCCTGCGAAAGGCATGAGCGAGGAGAAACGTCTGCCGTTCGCAGGATAGAGTACTTTTAGATCTCTAGAAATGCATTCTAAGCAGTGCTATAAAATTTGTATCTGTTCAGTCATCCTAGGGCAACTTGAGTCTGTTCGAAATTATTAGGGCTCCGGTATTTCTTTCCCGAAAATTTTACATGCAATTCAACGTTTTACGAAAGTGAGAATTTTTCTAATTCCTCTCTACATCGCATTTTTTAGTCCGAAAATTTTAGGTTTCCTTTTTACTACGAAAAATAGCCTAACCTGGGGAGTTAAATGTGAAAAATTAAACCAGAAAATCGTATCGGGTTTATTGAAAAAGCTTCGAAAATTGTACATGAATGGAACGGTAATCTAGACATTTTTAGCTGTCCTCAAGTAATAGAAAATTCTGGGCAATATTTGCTTTTCCGAACAGATATTTTACAGAAAACAGTCGTTGGGTGCCCCTGATGGTTTTTATTTGCAACTTAAAATGTTTTAATAACAATGGTATGGAATACAGTCTCGCAATTCACAGGTGTTGGTTAAAGTAAACATCTATTGTAATTCAAGTTCTGCTCCCTACCGCGAACTGCATAATTTTAATTTGTCCTCTGAGTTTCCAGTCGCGTCTGTAGTTGATTTATGGAAAAGTTCTAGCCAATGACTTTCAGTGAAGAAGCTTTTAACACCCTCTGTAAATCGAATTAACTTTAGATTTTCAAACTGTATTTTTAGTATCTTCCTTTCTGTTATTATGAAAAGCTTGTATACGATAGGGGTGTAACGATTCATATTCCTTGCGGTTCGATTCGATTTCGATTATTTCGATTCGATTAATTGATTCTTATTTCTTAATTCTTATAACATAACGCGTAATGTTAACGTTCAACCCTAAACCCTCAATTTGAGAATAGTAGCAGGGACAGGAGGATTCACAGACGCTTGGTTCGTTGCAGTGTTTGGGAACTTGACAAAGAGCGTAACGTGAGCGTGTCGCACATAGTTTGCCTCAGGGCTGATAAAGGTTGGGCGGTGAAATGAGCGCTCCGCTCTTCATTTAATGTGTGATGCGGAGTAGGACTGGCACGTTCACTCTTTCCGCGCTTCAGGTGCGCTTGAAGGCCGGCGAAATTTTCCTTTCTGCAAACCGGAAATCCTATTTTCTTTCTGTAATTTCAGGCTACAATGTTAAATAGATAAATTCGTTTCATATAATAAGTCAAACTTGATGGTCGTATATAATGCCAAAATTTGAGTTTAATTTGAAAGTGTTGAATACCTCCTCCTTCCACTAAATATCACCTAAACTTCTTTCGCCGATTCGTTTGCAAAAGCTTAACACTTCTTAACCTCAATTTTTACATATGTTAAAGGGGGATAAATTTTATATAACATAACAAAAAATTAGATTGATATATATTGATATAGTGGCGTTGTGCTTCTTCAAACTTTGCTTCTCGGGTGCAACGCGCCGTGGCGATTCACGCAATGCGTTGCAAATCCGGCAACCGCATGTAAACAAAATTTATTCAGGTTGGTTGTAAGGTTTTTCTCCGTTTTTCTCTCTAAAGCAAAACAAGGTAAACAGTAAAAACTGAGGAGAAACTAATTTTGAAGTTTCGAAGAAACAGAAAGAC